TGCAAAGATAACGGGACATTTCATAAGATTTATGACATTGAATTGGTCCAGAAGTGTAATGGTTATGGATAATATAGCAGCATTTACATTCATAAAAAACCAATCACAACCACTTTTGATTTCCCGTAAAAAAGTTAATCTCAATTCGATGATTATATATCCAGAAATGTCTGTCTATCCAGTATTGTTGAAGAGAGATTCGTTTAAGGGCGAAACATATCCGTTCACGGCAGATCTCACCAAATCTGAAGATATCAAGTCGTTGGCCGAAGCTGCAATAAAGAAGTTCAATAAATTAGACATTTTGGTCAGTGGTGTTCTATGAGTTTGATTAATGGTTCAGAATACTCAACGATAATAATGACTTTCTTAAAGATGCATTATTATAAGCAATGCAATATTTCTTAAAATCGTTGTGCATCTCAAGTGATTTTATTCATTTTGAAATAATCGACATACACTTACAAAGACAATGGTGATAAGGAATGGTTCCTCAATAAAACGTCAAAATAGCAACACAATAAGAAGGAAGACAATTTCAGGTAAATAACGCAGGTATACTAGAGAATGGCACAATCGAGAACACATCACTGGATCAGTTCGATCACATGATGAATGTCAATCTACGTGCCGTCTTCTATTTGACAAATCTTCTATGTCCGCATTTAATCCAGTCGAAGGGTTCAGTCGTGAATGTATCGAGTGTCAACGGGATGCGATCGGTTCGTTGATTTCATTATCATTTCATCCATATTTATAAACATGTGATGATAATAGCAGAAATAGTCGATGCAGTAAGAATATTAACGAATGAACGCTTTCAGTTCCCGAATGTACTGGCCTATAATGTGTCAAAGTCGGGTGTTGATCAGTTGACACGTTGTGCAGCACTTGAATTGGCCTCGAAAGGAGTTCGAGTGAATTGTGTGAAGTACGTGAGCAATGGATTGATTTCATTTTCAGATTTGTTTGTTGATCGGATTTGTAATGTGGATATCGCATCAATCATACGTGACCATGTTTAATCGAACCAAGTGGATTTCAGCCCGGGCGTAACGATGACCGAACTGCATCGTCGTAGCGGTATGAACGAAGAAGCGTACCAGTCATTTATCGAGCACTCGAAGTCGACTCATGCTCTGGGTCGTGCCGGAACTCCAGAAGAAGTGGCCAACGCTATTGCATTCTTGGCCAGTGACGCGGCTTCGTTCATCACCGGTGCTTCGCTACCGGTGGACGGTGGTCGACATGCGATGTGTCCACGTTAGAGCATTTATTATCTCGATCTTGATTTGAGCCGGTTCAATCGGACTTGACCGAATTCATTTTGAAATTGTATCAGTGTCCATCTGATCTTATTTATTCGACTAACATCATTCATATTCAAACANTGACCGAATTCATTTTGAAATTGTATCAGTGTCCATCTGATCTTATTTATTCGACTAACATCATTCATATTCAAACATTTATGACTTGATTTATGGTTGATTGATTAGGTCCTTCCCTCCTGTCCACTTCTTTCTTAAATTATTAGCACTAATGGAATGATTTTAATGATAGTTCATTTGATTTTCGTTCATTTTACTTATTGCTCATCGGTGTTTATGTGAATATTGTGTTGGACAATGTTTTGTGGTAATGTACTTCACTTCATTGTTAAATGATATCGAATCGCCCGAAGTGGAACAGCTTTCAGGAGGGAGGATACTGAGCACTTGTTTGAATGTATCCTTTCGTGTGTTCTCATTTAGAAACATCTTTCTTCAAACTTACTGCTTGCAATATCTCAATCTTATACGCTTGATTTGACTGTCTCTATCGTATTTATTCATTCGCTTACAATTAGTTTACTCTCTATCAGTAATTCGTACATTCATTTGTGTATTGATTTTAGGAAGTGATTTTATGACTTCATCCTTATTTTCATTGTCGCAGTTATTATCATTATCATTTACGGTTGTCTTGTTAGTTATTGCTTCATCGATTCTTTGCTATTGATATATTCTGTTATTGTGAATGTTGACATTGGATTATTGATTCATTCATTAAAGCGTTTTGTTGACTGATTTTGTAGCATTCACA